CTCTCTCTCTTCCTCTTTCCTCTCTCTCTCTTCTCTCCTCCTCTTTTCTCTCTCTTCCTCTCTCTCTCTCTCTCTCTCTCTCTCACACACACACACACGTACCTAAAACACTGTCACCAAGGACATAGCAACATCAGCTTTACTAGTTTTTCTTGGTTTGTTTTGAATACATTAGAAGGTCCTTCACTCCCTTCCCTACAAGTGTTAAGTTCTTGCCCCCACCATGATGCTCTCCTGAGCCTCTGCAGGTCTTTAAGTGAGGGTGGCATTTCATGTGAATTAATTCTTGTGAGAAGATGCACACTTAAGAATACTAGACTGTTTTGGAAAACTGGAAACAGTACCATAATATCCATGTGGAGTTCCACTGGCAGGTATGTGAATTATTGAAATCTACCACCAAATGATATGCTATGGTTTTAGGTGTGAAAAGCCTCTCTTGAGTACTGGCTAATCTAACATATCATTTTAACCTGACATTTACAATGCTTTACTCCTTCAGTTTTTTGTTTCTTGAGAGACCATTATAGGCATTATTTGAACCCTCGTATTACAAAAGCCAACAAGACAGATAAGTTTCCTCCTCTCAGGAAGTTAGAATATTTGCTTCTAATTCAAACAAAGATCAGACACTGCTGTTCATTTTCACAAAGCAGAAACCTAAATTTTAAGGAGATTGAGTTATAGTCAGGTTAGGTAAGTGACACAGTCTGGATCCTTTCAAGCCTGAAAATGCCTAGTCCCCCAACACTCCCATCAAGAGGTGGCCCAGGGGGAAGAAAAAGAAAAATCACAAACCACCTTGAACATTTTCAAGAATAATGAAAATGGAAAAAAAACAATTTTTTCTGTACAAAGGCTACTCTTTCAAGGATCTATTTAAAAACAATGACTGAGACCACTTTTAAATTGCATAGACATGGGTTCATGGTAGGGACCAGGCAAGGAGTGCTGGTGACACAATGATTAAGCACTCACAGCTAAAGGAAAGATGCTCCCATAAAGATTAAAAGCACTGGGAACCTTTAGGGAGCTCTGGTGGCCTACTGGCAGGAAGCTGCACTGCAATCCCAGAGGTGTGTGGTTTGAATCCACCAGATGCTCTGC